CGCAGGGGGGGTGAGAGTTATTAAAGGGATAGGGTCGCAGGTGACCGGATAGTAGGGTCGCAAGTGACCGGGGATAATAGGGTCACAAGTGACCGGATGATAGGGTCACAAGTGACCATGGTCCCTTATTGAGAAACCACCACACCGTACGAAGCAAGCGGCCAGAAGCATTGGGGAGTAACCAGAACACACGATACCGGCCGCAAGCCTGACATTGGCGCGCCGCAAGCCTGAATATATATATATATATATAATTTTAATATATATATATATACATGTATAATTATTAATTATATATATATATGTATAATAGTGTTCAAAATACACAGTATTTGCAAGGTTTTCCATGGGGTTTTCAGGGTTGCTCCGATTTGGTGAGAGCACTGCTTACTGCAGTGGAGATGATCTCTGGTACCAACGATTCACCATGATGAACCATAGAGTTTCCTCGCAACCGATGATTGTCAGCATCGAGATGAACGGTTGAACGGTTGCATCTCCAAGAAGTAACCAACAATCAACCGCTATGTCTGAAAATAGGCTACCCTCCAAAACATTGATTTCCATTTCCAGTTTTTACTAAGAGTTTGCTATGGAAGCCATTGGCCCATATCTAGGTCTGATCGATGATTTACCTGTGAAAAATGGATAAACATGGTGGATTTCATGCGATTTCCAATCGCAGAGAGGTGGAGTATGCTGTGGCCTCACATCGCTGGCCCAAAGTTGCGGCGATCGATGCGACCAACAGTTCATTCCACGGGGCTGAGGATGAGCTATTGGGCTGAACGGATGGGGATGACAGAGAAACAGATGGCTTTAACCAACCAAAATATGTTGGTTCAACCATATTAAACCAAAAAAAAAAATGATTTTAGCAAAAAAAAACAGAAGTAACCAAACAAATGTGGATTGCGATACAATGAACAAATGTGGGGATATGACCAAACATCATGCGCGATGTCTGAAAATAGGGTATACCAGTATACCTCCAAAATTGCCGTTTCAATAAGAACAATTATGATGAACCAGTGGATTTGTTTTTTTATTTTTTTTCAGAGAAAACCATGCGGATATTACCGATATCGAGAAGGATGCTGAGATAGCGAACAGCCATCTGGATAGCATGTTTGTTTTACTCCTACCTGAGGCATCATGACCATCCACTTCTAGGTCACAACTTCCATGGAAAGTGTGGGGAATCAGCCTGGGGTAAAACTAACGAAACAATCAATGTGGAAAATTTCTTGGTTTGGGGTTTAGTGGGATTTGAACATAGGGAATTTGAAGGGATTTGATGGTAGGGTAAGCCAAATCAATAGATGTGGAAAACCAATGCTTTCCCTAGGATATGATGTGCAAAGGGTGGGTTTTCCACATCGAACTGTGTTAGTCTACAGGAGGGTATATTCATAGTCAAATATCAAACTGATAGTAGTTCTTATATTATATATCTGGGGTATGATACTGGTATAGTGCTCATCACTAAAACATTAGGTATAGAATGATATTATATATAGATACACGTCCCCAGCAAACAGCAATCACAACATGTGAACAATGTTCTGGTCATTTTGGACATGGCCGCAATCTGTTCCATCTGTTCGCGCCTTTTAATGGGACCAGGTATATTCATACCGCCATTGTGGGATCACCATGGATTTTGGTGTAAAAACAGCATTTTTTTTCTGGGTGAAATCCATTAAAACATTGCAATAAGAACAGGCCCATTTCATTAGTTGTCCCTCTTGACATCGAATTGACGTCTAGATGTGTTTTCCTTTTCTGGTGATCATATCCCACAAACTGGGTTCAACAGGAAGGCCTGAACATTTCCGGTCCCATTTAGCTTGGGACTGAGAACAACCTCAAAGATGCTTTAAGACAGATACCACTCATAGATTCGTATACCCTCTCTCGTAAAGTTAATATGTATGTTTGATATATATATACATATATATATACACCCTTTGGCAGTGTACCGTCTGATCCGTCTGATATATATATATATATACACATACATACATACACATCATGTATATATATATATATGTATGATGTACATCCTCATCCTCATCATCATCATCATCATCATCATCTTCATCATCATCATCATCATCATCATCAATCTTCATCTTCATCTTCATATTCATCTGTATATATCATATACATATACATATGCATCTACATGTACACAGTAGAAAAAACGGTCCAAATCTGGATGAAGCTCCAACCTGATGGCCGATGGCTGCCGTGTCAGGTTGGCTTCTGTGCGCTTGGCCGCCCAAAAGGCCGGAGAGGCACTGGAGATCCGGCGCTTGGCGGTGCCTGTGGGGGGCGCCATCTTTCACCACCAGGTGCCTTTCACCAAAAAGGGCTGGTGATTGGCTGAAAAAAGGTGGTCTAAATATGTTCAAATCAAGAATTTAGATGGTTTGAAGATCTTTGGTTCGGAACGCTAAACTGTTTTTTTTAAACTGTGAAACCAACAGAGATGTTTTTTTTTCGTAAGACTACTGGTGACGTCAAGAAATATATGTGATTTATGGAGAAAAACACGGAATGAAACACCTATTTATAGCATGCTTTCTGTAGCTCTTCAGCTCCTATATCTATTGCCCACGGGAATGTGGAAAAGGGTGTCATCCTACCGCACAGCAGTGAACCATCCCGTGGGGCGTGAATGTTCGATAAGAAATCTAGCACAAAAACACATATCAAATACATGTCAAATTATCAATCCCAGATATTTTTTGGGAGTTATGAACTTACCAGCTTACCATGACATACCAGCTTACTTAGCATCAACCTGGGGCCCCCTGGGCCCCCCTCCAACGTCAGGATGTTTGGCACGGCTCCGGCGCAAATCGCTCCTCCGAGCGTCCTCGTCGAGCTTTGGGCGTCCATTTGCTGAGTCGCAGCTCGACAGTTCGGCGCGGCATTTCGCCGCGGTGCCGACAAGTTGGAGGATTCTGCCGAGTTGATCAACATCCATTGGTTGATTTACCCCTTTAACAACAGGTAAATGATGATAGATGGTATACCAAACCGGCCCCAAAATTGATCAACATTGAGTTTCAGTGGGATCAAAATCGGATCAAAAAATATGAGAATAGGATATGAATTGGATCTATTGACACATGTCAAAATGGGATCATAATGGGATAATAGATGACTGGTTGGTGGTTTGGAACATGAATTTTATTTTTCCATATATTGGGAATGTCATCATCCCAACTGACTTTCAGATTTTTCAGAGAGATTGAAACTACCAACCAGTTGATCAACAATCTAGTTTCAACATTGAGTTTCAATCTCTTTGGGTTTAGGGGTCCCAGATATTTTCCAGTTGAAACTTCGTTTGTTACCAACGATATATTCCGCATGAACATTCATGAACGGGTGGTCAAGGAGTCGTACTATGATATGGCCGCAAGACTAGCAACATCTGGCGACAATCACGGGCAGGTTTCAGTTCTTTCCATGCGTTTCGAATGGTTTCGAATCCCAAGGTGATAGGGGCAACTGATTGTTGGGAGTGCATCGCAATCACCAACAGGACATCATGTCCAAATGGGTCTAGTTTATCTCTAAATTTCATAGTATATCATCATGATCATTTTTTTCAAGAGTCGTAAATTGGAGTATTTTTCGCACAATGTGGATAAAACAATGTCATGTTTACCACCCATTTTCCTGGGAATGGTAAACATACCACCTATAAAAATGGTGATGACTGGGGGATGGTGCAAATGGCATTGTTTTACCCACATGATCCCAATTTCAGACACACCCAGGGCCCAGGCGGGGTCCCAAATCCGCTGCACGCAGCCGGTTCGACAGAGGCGATGTGACCTTTCGAAGAGATCCACGACCGGCGCGCCAACCGATCTGGTGGGGTGAAGATACAAACAATACATATATAATCAATTATAATCATATATATATATATACTGTATATATATATATACTGTATATATATATATCATATATCTATTTATGTGGTGCCATTATTATCCATGATTAACCATATCTGGTTGGTGGTTTCAAAGATAAATGTTATTTTCCATTTCATATATGGGATGTCCTCCTGCCCATTGACGAACTCATATTTTTCAAGATGGTTAAAACCACCAACCAGATATATATGGCTCAGCCCTGCAACACCCCCTCATGGTCATGGTCTTGTATGTACACTGTATGTTGAAGGCTTTGTGTCGGATATAGTTGACATGTTGCTAGCATATAAATGATCGATGTAGGGTCTACTTTACCCCCGCTCCCCCTGTGGGATGGGTGGGGTGTTATAGGGGTATCATGTAGATAGTGTATAGGTAGTACGTGGCTAGCACGTATGTATAGCACATGAGATCTTGAAGTAGCTAGTATGGCTACTATCAAGGTACTTTATTGGCAGTAATACGTTGTAAATAGATTGTATAGGCATATTATAATTCGGCAGTAGTGAACACTGCATAGAGGTATCCTCCTATGTAGTGCATAGGTGGCACGAGGCCAGTATGTAAGTACAGCATGGATGGTGGTAGATGGCTGGCCACACCCGTGAGGGTGGTTGCTGGGGGGGCTGGGGGGGGATAGCATTGCAGGGGTTGCCGGGCGCCGGGCGGGACTCTATTATATATATATTAGATCTCTCTCTCACTATTCTTTGGTAAAGATCGGTCCACTAGAACACTAGAAATCAACTACGAGTTATATACCAACAGATATTAGATATAATTCGGTTTGACTGAAAATGGGGGGGCATCCAAACAGTGCAATTTTAAGAAGTAGATGAGAAACCATTGGATTTAGTGCTACACTCTTTTCAGACAGGTCAGGCACTGGAAGCCTCATCCGCATTCGCTGTTATAGTCTAGTTAGTCTGTGCCAATGTTCATTGTCTGAAATCGCTTGAATTGATCGAGCATGCCCTTGAAATCATTGTGAAAACGGTTGTTTTTTCAAGGTAAAATTCAAAGAGTAAATGCGTTTTACAAAATCTTGGGGATGGCACCCGGATGAACAAGGTCACCGCGTTGATGGCAGCAACAAGAACCGAAGGATAACAAAAATAACAAACATAACAAAAGAAGACAGAGGGAATTTCGTAATTCTCAGCTTTGAAGGAATCTAAAGACAGTTTTCACAGTTCAAAAGGAGCATTCTGAAGATCAAGAACCATGCCGTTGGTGTCACACGTCAGAACAGCACCGAATCAGTTTTTGGTTTCTGCATCACTGCCCCGAGATCAGCATGAGCTCCGCCAGGATTACATCTATGGTCGCTATGTGCTTTCTGAGGGCAGTGGAGAAGTCTCCGAACAGTTCTTTCCCATCCTTTGGACGACCTCAGGCGATGCGATCCGATCTTTTTTTGGTTATGGAAGGCTCGGGATTCCAACACCCAGATTGTCTATAATAGATTGTGCATGTTCAGTGGTAGTTACCTTCTTTCTGAAGGTGCCTTGTGGCCACACCCATGCGGACTAATACGGATGTATTAGTATAATTTAGTAATTATATGGATTGAAGCGGATTAAAAATGTATGTATACTGTATATTATATAATTATATACATACATGATTCACATAGTAGATTTGGTTGAAGTGAAGATTGAAAGCGTAGACCCCCTATTTTCAGGTGAACACCATGGTTTCCACTTTCAATGTTCATTCAAATCATCTTAAACCAATCATTTGAATAGTAAATTTCATGGATGGTGTTTGCTTCTTTCCCGGACAACAAGCGTGGTGCAGACGGGTCAGGCTATGTGAGCCCCATTCTTCGCCGCGCCAAGAAACGGCCCGTCGAGGCTCGATCGTTGTCCAAACGGGAAACCACGGGTTTTCCACATCTTTCGGTATGTCTACCTGCTACGGCTGTTCATGGCTTGAAACTCAGGCCATGCAGCTTAGCTGGACTTAGTATACTTAATCTGGCAAGCGATCAATTGTATCAATTGTATTTCAATTGTCTCTTAAGTAATTCTTTAGATTTTTAGAATTCATGAAGTAATTATTAATATGCTTGTCCAGCTGTCCAGCTATGCCCAACTTGCACGAGACCAGAAACTCGCATGTGGTGCCCTGTGTCCAAAAATTGGGGGCTGTTTTTGGGGCTCTGTAAACGTCTGTTTTTTGGGGCTCTGTAAACGTCGGACTTGAGGCCTTAGAAACCACCACCAGCAATAACTCAGGGTTTATCAACCAGTTGAGTATTGTTTGCCAGAAAATCTACGGGAACCCGATGGAAAAACCGATGGTGAGTTACCGATGGTGAGTTACAATGCTGAAACCATGGCTGAAACCATGGCAGAGATCTCAGGTGGATGCACCGGCTGCCGCATGCTGAAAAAAAAAGACCTCACTGCGACCGAGCCCTGGTTAATCATGGTTAATAAGGGAAAGCATCCCCAAATGGCCGAACTATTCAGGTTAGTGAACCATTATAAGTTACCCAGATGTACGTATATAATAGCTTAGCATATACATACTGGATCATACTGGACTATTATACATACTGATATACATACACACAATATATATATATTCAATATATATATATACATACATATACACAAGGCTTTGGGACGTCACAAGTGCATTTTCGATCGCAAGCGATTGACCGATTGGGCCTTGCCGCAACGGCTGAAAGTTGAGGATGTGCTTGGCACTGGATGAGCCCCAGCACTGATAACGTTGACTCTCTGAGTCTCAACGATGTGTTCTCAACATTGCAAGGCTATTATCGACTGATAGTTACAAAGTGTACCATGGTACTATAGTCCATTATATATATATATAGCCTTTCCTTATCATAGCTTGTGTACGACTGACAGCATGCCAGTTGTGCCCCCAGCATTTGGATAGTTGACATAGTTCGATCCGAGCGTTTGCTAATTCGCCCCGTTTTAACGGCCGTGCCATGCGGGATGCCTGCGCCAAATCTGCAAAGGACATCGATGCAGCGGTTGCAACCCTCAGAAAGGTATTTAAACGAAATGTTATGTATAGGTTTGTCTGAAAATGGTGTATATCATGTATACCCGTATACACACCATTTCTCGATTTTAGATCATTTTAGTACGGAAAATGTTGATGATCCATTGGAATTACTGGATAATTAGCGTATTTTCAGCACAGACAAAGCCATATTGAAGATTCGGGATTTTAAAAAGACATGCACAAGAATCATCCAGTCGTTGGTTTTGCGGGTACAAAAAACTACTGCCCCATGCTGCCTAGAAGAAAGCCCTAAATCTGCAAGTCCCACACTGATGGACCTCCAAAACACCAACAATCCACATCGCATCTGGTTCATGCGCAAGGTTGGATAGGGATCAGGCAATCAGCCAATGGATTGGTTCAAGGGAAAATCGAAACCGTACACCATGTTTTTCGTGTTTTTTCCATTTGAAATATATGAGTACTTTTCCCTTAAACCAAATCATTGAATGAGGCACCTATTGCTATTGACATGATAATATATAGACCAGGGTAATGAGCTTGAGAGTGGTGATGATGATGATGATGATGATGGTGTGCTGATGGAGGAGTGGAAGGAGACAATAACGTCCTGATTGTTTGCTCATAGTTGGTAAGTTAGGTGGGGATGTAGCAAAAAAATCGAAGCTGATTAACAGGAATTCAAGGATTGCGATATTCTGAACATGTCTATATCCAATCATCTACTATTTGTTGTCACTGGTGTAAATACTTAATCAAGTTGAAAATCACCCATTTAGATCCACTTAGTTTGATGATTTTCCCAGCTATTAACCTCCATTTAGTCATTTAGTTTGGGGATTTCCCAGTCAGCCATATTTGTTTCCGCAAAGTATATTGCAACAAGTGGATTACAATCCCGTTGATGGTCCCACTGACTTTCCGATTGATCCCATTAGAATCCCATTGGCTCTCATGAATTCCATTGAAATCCAATTGAATTTCATTAAATTCCATTGAAATCCCTTTAACTGCCATTAAATCTTATTGAAATCACATGAAATCCCAGTAGGTTCCTATTTATTGCGCAGATCTTGATGAAGTCGGCCAGTGGAGCATTCCACCCGCGCAGGAACCCTGCAACCGGCCGCGGACCGCAGGCGCAAACTCTTTGGAGCTTCCATTCAATATTTGTATATGTATATACTTATATTTATATATATATATATATATTTGTATATACACACAATTTTTCTAACGTGGTTTCTAATTTTGTAGATACGCTGTACCTCATTGTCATATTTATATATATAGTATTTATATATATTTATATATGCATGTACACATTTTCTATATACATCTATAATAGTCATCTATATACAATGTGCAGTCCTGTCCCAGTGCCAGGGATTTGCGGCGGTGCATGTGGTGGACTGGAGCTGGGCCCAGCCTGGACGCGGTATCCAAAAAGAACTGGGATTTTAAACCCAGGAAAATCATGGTTTATAGTGGTTAATCATGTTAATCATGGTCAATGAATGTTAATGATTCCTACTGGTTTGTAGTGATTAATAATCATGGTTAATAATGATTCATACTGGTTTATAATGGTTAATAATCGTTATTGGGACATGAATGGTTAAAAAATGTCTTTTAACCCAGTTTTATATTGTTGTATATTGTTGTATATTGGGAACTCCACGAATGGGAGACTTCCTAACTAGGATCAGAAAAACCTCTTACGATTCGTGGGATGTTCCTCCAAGTGGATTTGGGTAAACCATTTCATTTTCAGCAAATGATATAAATGATTCACCAAAACGAGGAAAATTGGTGAATCATAGTCTTGAGACTTTCTGCGCCTGCAGATTTAGTTGAACCTTACTAGACTGGAAACTCTCAATCATAGTCACTGGCTTGGGACCTTGGGACATAGACAAATTTTCACACGACGAAGGCCCGAAAATTCGTTTTGGCATTCTCCGCCTGATCCACTGGGATCATTTTCAAATGCCCCCTTTCGCTACGGAAAAATCGTCCATTTAGTTCGTTGACTTACCTATTGAAAGTGGGTTCCATAGCAAGTCGTGTTTGTTTGCAGAATAAACTATATAGGAATATGGGATACGTATGGATACGTTATCACGTGGATATTAGGATATGTGTGGATAGAGTTAGGATATGTTAATATAATTATATATATACATATATTATTACTGAGTTATAAGTTGCGTTTTAGTGCGATATATTCGGGGTATTTCATATGGATATCATCAGCCTTGGCCGCCGTGAGGATGGTGAGGAAGTTGACCCTTCCGCTCTGAAAAACGCATCTACCGTGTATTTTTGGTTGGTTTTATCATGTATGTTGTTTGACCAAAAATGTTGTTTGACCATAAATGTTTATCATGTTTCATCATTATAAAACCAAACATGTCATTTACATTCATTTATTGTGTATTAAACTTCATTTATCTGTGTATAATGATGTCACAGATACAGTAAATGATGTTTGGCCTCTCAAACAAAATGTAGGACAATATAGTTATCAAAAAAGTAGAACCAGTACATACAAAGACCAAACGCAGACATTACTCATGCCATATCGCCAAGAGCCGCCAAGATTTGGATATTAAATGCTCATCAGAATAAGCTGTCAGCATGCATGTTTTTCTCAACCAAAGAGGGGGATGTGACTCAAAAGTAAGACTAAGATGAGAAAAATGTGGTTTGGCAAGTTTCGATATGTTGTTAAATCTAGGGATATTTGGTTATTTTTTGAGGATAATTATATAGTGATAGTGAATTTTGGGTGCCTTGTAGATGTTTCTACACAGGATGTGGCCAGAAAATTCACCAATTGAGTGTCTATAGTCTATGTATATATTGTGGAAAACAATGGGCTTGGCATTTCCAATTTTAAGCACGCAGGCATGTTGGATTTTTCAGTGGATGGATAAAGATTGGAGCCGTGAGCCCACTTGTTGCAACGGATATGGGTTCTTGCGGCGCAACCATGCACGTCCTATGTCAATGTCCTGTAGATGAAGTCAGAAAAATAATCGGCTATAAAAAGGCGGCAAACCGTATGTTATTGGGATTGTCCGATCATGATCGAGCATTCCAATCCGAACTCACCGTTTGGAAATTAGAAGGGGAATTATCTACACTTATCTACTCGGGGAATTCTCTGCACTTAATCTACTTCTCGATTTTGAAAAATGTTCTATCCAGATGAACTAGATTTTGAAAAATGTTATATCCAGGGGAACATCTACACTTCATCTCTGCACTTAATCTACTTTCATCTCTAAATTTGGCCTATTTCAGTTGGACATGTTCCAGCCATGTCAGATATTTCCACAAGTCGGCACTCGCCTGAGGAACATTGTCTACCAAATTCGTGCTCACATTCGACACAAGGCTTGGACTTCCTCTTGGAGACGCGGATCTCAGACTTTTAGAACAACTTATATATGTATTACTATATATATAAGTTATATAATATAACTATATATATTATTATATAATATTTATATATACATCTATGTCGACTCTTTCAGTACATATATATATATATATATGTTTTTTTCATGATTTATGACTGGAATTTTTGAAGATGGCTTCCCTAGTGTCATTTTACGACTGATCATGTCTGAGAAACGTTTTTTTTCAGTGTGGTTTTGGTGTTTTGCCCGGAATGTGATGTCTCTGCCTATCTAGATCTATATGATCTATCCATCTGAGAACCAAAGTGGTGCAAAAAAATCATTGAATGTTCAAAGCCCGGGATAAGATGCTGCGCTTTTGTTGGGTTTTATTTTGTTGCGATCTCCTTCAGAAGTTTACATCCCGAAAAAGGATCAGACTGCAAGTGGGCAGTTGCGGCAACCCTGGTTAAGCATAGTTTTCTGGTGTTGCATGGTCGGATTGCAAACAAACTATCAGAATCCACTATTGGAATCACCACCAAAGAACCACTGGAGCCATTTTTTTAGTTTTCTTATGGGGATTCAGGATGATCCAGGGGACGGACTCTGGTTGTTTGGCTGACTGCGGACAGCTATCCGGTACCCAAAGTTTGACCCATATCGTGGTAACTGTGGCTACTGCCCAATTGATGGTGGATGCCAACACACTTATCTATATGAATATATTTGAATTCATATGTATATATGCGTATAGAATACGTATTATCATATCATATTATATCATATAGTCACATAGGAATAGTAGCTCAAGTTGGTGCTTCACAGAATAGGTACCCCCCATGGTTTGTTTCTGCACTGGAGCACAAAGATATGATTCTACCAAATGTTGAGAAACAACCAACTCGGTTTCTTCCGGACGCGCTGACCCGAAGAGGATTAGTAATGCAAGTTTGCATCCCCAGGAAAAGCCTGAGGCCTACAGCGTATTTTTCGGAGTATGTTGCATATCAACGAAGAACAGAACTGAAGACTTCCATAGACAGGATTGTTCCAACTCATAGATAAATGCTGATAGCCATGATAGCCACTTGCGGCTAAACTTCGTCAGTTTACCTCACCCAATTTCCCAGCAGGTCACCGGTCACCGGTCACCATGGGTCACCATCCGGCGCCAGACCCCTGACCGCTTGGTTGAGGGTGGCCCATCCGTAACGGCTGAGGTGGGTGGGTTGGTGTGGGGCCTGTGGGGATGGTGAACTTTCTCTGGTGAACCATGGTGCAACATCCACAGCATAGCGGCGCGACCCACGGGCACCAGGAGCTCGCAAAATGTTGGCTCGCTACGCTGAAGGCGCTACTGATACTGATGCGATGGGCAACATCCAGCAGTGATTTTTGATGACAGGCTGATTACATATTGTTGAATTTGGCTGAACCTGGGTGGTGTTGCATTTTCAAGATCCAGGAATATCCGGCAATACCCAGAACCGTTCAAAGTATATTAGAGAGCCAGCCAAAGCTTTCAACGGGCTTATGGTTTGAAATGCAGTACCACCTAAAGGATATTGTTGAATACTAAGAATGACCATAGAATGACCCAAACTTGTGATTTGTAACAGTCATGCAATTGAAGGAAGATAACGGAGGAGTAAAGTAAACAACTCAGGTTTTGATGATCAACAGACATAGGAGTATGACCAACTCATACGTGTATCAATATACATATATAAATTAAATGATTTGTTTTACATGTGCATATATATATATATAGATTTCCAAATTTGTCTATATCTATATGTGTATATACATATATTTCTGGTTATCTTTCTATCTATCTACCTATCTATCTACCTATCCATCTATCTACCTATCTATCTACCTATCTATCTACCTATCTATCTACCTATCTATCTATCTAACCAACTGTTTACCGACCCATCCAACCACCCATCCATCCATCCATCCATCGATTTGTCGATCTGTTTGTCTATCTGTTTATCTGTCTATTTGTTTGTCTCTCTCTCTCTCTATCTATCTATCTTTCTTTCTTTCTATCTATCTATCTTTCTAGCCCTATGGCTCCAGCCGTACCTTCTTAGGAAGTATGACTGGGGTATGATTTAAGGGGTTAAGTTGTGAAGTACCGTCTCAGAAAGTATTTGGATGCATAGGGTACATGTATACTAATGTGGGCGACCCAAGAATAAATCTACCATTTGGGGATGGTTCAAATCCCACTCATTAAAACGGTGATTTTGGGGATAGTTTGTGGCATTATGTTTACCACATATCTATACATTATTGTATTCATAGCATGACAATCCAAAACCAATTATATACATACCTTCGATCTACCCCCCGCCCAGTAACAGCAGATAAATTATTTTCCTTTAACCTACCCTTTCAAAACGAGCACAAGGAAATTGCTCCAAAAATCTCGGCTAGGAGGTGCCCAAAAAAAAACGTCAACCTGCCCTCCAAACCTCTGATACAGAATTCAGAATTCAAGACAGGGGCTTCACTTTCAAGATCTTTCAAGCATATCAGTTGCATTCCAACATTGAGAAAAGAAGAGCGCAGACTACAGACAATACATTCATGTGTTACCCTGAGAAGGTGCGAGCAAGGCGTCTGCATCGAAGCAAGGACTAGAACATATTGTGAAAGGATTTGGCCGCTTGATGCAACTGGCACAATGCACCGTAATGTGCTCAACCATGGAGTCAGATTGGCCATGTGGGAAAATGGAAATGCTATATACTTGGCATCCATCCTAAACTTTAATTTCTAAACCCCGAGCCCATGCGAACCCTAAATCGCAAAACTTCATTGACGCGCAAGTACCAACCGCCAAAACCAGCACAAGCTAGACACAAAAAGAGCACAAAAAAACACAAAAAAAACATTAAAAAACAAAAAGAAGCACAAAAAAAGCACAAGGAGACTGCAAAAATAATTGCGAAAAAAATGAAAAAAACTAGCCCGGGCAAGGAAAGGTCCAAAGGGACGACAAAACGAGCACCAGAGGGACCACAAGAAAAGCACAATTTGAGCACCAGCCGAGCACAATTTGAGCACCAGCCGACAATTTGAGCACCAGCCGGGCACAATTTGAGCACCAGCCGAGCACAATTTGAGCACCAGCCGAGCACAATTTGAGCACCAGCTGGGCACAATTTGAGCACCAGCCGAGCACAATTTGAGCACCAGCCGAGCACAATTTGAGCACCAGCCGAGCACAATTTGAGCACCAGCCGAGCACAATTTGAGCACCAGCCGAGCACAATTTGAGCACCAGCCGAGCACAATTTGAGCACCAGCCGAGCACAATTTGAGCACCAGCCGAGCACAATTTGAGCACCAGCCGAGCACAATTTGAGCACCAGCCGAGCACAATTTGAGCACCAGCCAAGCACAATTTGAGCACCAGCCGAGCACAATTTGAGCACCAGCCGAGCACAATTTGAGCACCGCCACCTGGGCAAATCAGAAATGACCAAAAATCAATGCAAAGCAGCTGAGGGACCACAAGAAAAGCACAATTCGAGCACCAGCCGAGCACAATTCGAGCACCAGCCGAGCACAATTTGAGCACCAGCCGAGCACAATTTGAGCACCAGCGGAGCACAATTTGAGCACCAGCGGAGCACAATTTGAGCACAAGCTGAGCACAATTTGAGCACCAGCCAAGCACAATTTGAGCACCAGCCGAGCACAATTTGAGCACCAGCCGAGCACAATTTGAGCACCAGCCGAGCACAATTTGAGCACCAGCCGAGCACAATTTGAGCACCAGCCGCACACAATTTGAGCACCAGCTGAGCACAATTTGAGCACCAGCCGAGCACAATTTGAGCACCACCCGACCACAATTTGAGCACCAGCCGGGCACAATTTGAGCACCAGCCGAGCACAATTTGAGCACAGCCGAGCACAATTTGAGCACCAGCCGAACACAATTTGAGCACCAGCTGAGCACAAAAAAAAAAAGTAAAACCAAAAAAGTCCCAGCCCCAGCCCCAGCGCCACGCCCAGCCCCAGCCCCAGCGCCCCCAGGCCCAACCCAACCACACCAGCCCCCAGCACCCCAGCCCAGCCAGCCCAGCCCCAGGCCCAGCCCCAACCCCCCACCCTTGCGTTTGGTGGTGGTGGTTGTTGTGGTGGTGGTGCTGCTGCTGCTGCCGCTGCTGGTACTGCTGGTTGTAGTGGTCGTGGTGGTGCTCTCGCTGGTGGGGGGCGGTTGTTGTTATTGTTGCTAGTTGTCACATTGCTAAGCTGTCGTAGTTACTAAGAACTGCTAAGGTTTCCAACGGAATGTTGGTGATAAGTTGGCCAGTTCCTAGCAAATCTGTAGCAACCAGAGCCGAGAAGAGAGAAACATACACCTGTGCAGCTTGATTCCTTCCGATTCACATGAAACATTTTTTCAACCATTTGATGATTTACATATTCATGGTGTCTACCTGATCCATTGTTTGGTTTTGGTATAAGAATTTATCCGTATCATATCACCAGATTAGACCCTTATTTTCTGCATTTGGCTGGTGCTCATTTTGTGCCCCTGGCTTGTGCTCACTGTTACTGCCCCGGGGGTAGATCAAATACATACCCATATGTAGTGTATGGTTGTGCATTAAATCTAATTCTTTTTATATCCTATGTTTAGTTGTGGCGCCTCAAAAATCCCATAGAGTTGATGTTAGATATTTAGTTGTGAACTCAAAAATCCATTATATAAACAAATCTTAGTTGTTATCATAGAATTGGATGATGGGAACATTTGCAGGAAAACCCTTTTGTTTGATGGTAAAAACCATGGTTTCCTGTAGATTTTCCCTTAAACCAATCCATTGATGTTAGTTCTTAGTTGATTCTCCATTTATCCCTTGATTTTCCCTATGAAAAACTCCGACCAACCAAAATGGAGGCGCAGCATCCTGACGAGATCTCTGAGCGGGACGAGGTGAGGGGAACCGAAAAAAAGGTGTAATGATGTGTATATATATATTATTACATTATTATGTTTATTGTTGTTATTTTATTATTTTGATTATTGTTGTGGTTATTATTTTTGATTTTTCTTATTCTTGTTATTATTGTTATTATTCTTATTGTTCTTATTATTCTTATTGTTGTTGTTATTACTATTACTATTATTACTTACTATGTCTTGGCACAAGCCCATTTGCCGGAATGTCCGACTCTGTTGACATGGCGCGGCGCTTTTCATCAATTTCTACTACAGGAAAAATTCGCTTCTTCTAAGGTTTGGTTGATTTGTGGTCCGGGTATGCTTTGATGAGCTGCTCCCTGCATCTTGGTGACGGCCGAGCTTGCTATGGTAAAAACTTTTCTCCTGCAATGATGTGCTTGCGGCCGCCTGAAAGCGGCCGACTTCACATTGAAGGCTTGCACGATTTTTTTTTGTGTTGGCAATTCTCAATTTTCTGTGGCCTGTTCTGCTCAGAGACGTCCATGCTGGGTTTGTTTGGGGCGCCCAGGGACTCCCTGACGCAGATCTCTCCGTCAAGGATGGCTATTGCAACTCCTTTTTGGCAGCCTCACAATCAGTGTCGGGCGGAGCTCGCGGAAAGTTCCATCACTGCACAGAGATATTTTTGAAGCTCATGCGTGCGGGCCGCAGGCGGCTGTCCGGGAGACCGCTGCAACATTTTTTTTGACGACTATATATTTGTCCTTTTTACATCAGGGTTCCTTTTCTGGACCAACGCAAGCAAGTTCGCGGGCAAAATTAGCTTTGAAGATCTTGGTTTTTTTTCCCGAAGAATTCGCCCTCATTGATGGGTTCTTATTAAAACTGCATTGACATGATCGCAGGTGCATATATACAGCTTCCGAACATACATGTTGCAAAATGTTGCATCCGCCCCAAGTTGGGGTGGTACTCAAAACAACAAGCAGGCGAACTTCAGGCCAAAGCACTACCAGACCCGTGGCTCACCCTTGGCAACAAGGAATGCCACATTGTCCAAGACGGGAAAGTTTGGACAGGCAAGGCTGGGCACGAAAGATTATGCAGCACTCGGGTTTTCAACACCTTAAAATCTGTCCTTTCCCTGTATTTTCAAGACTGCAACGGGCATTCTCATTTTGCTCACCCGAAAAGTGTTGACAGCAATGGAAGTGCGTAAAGCCCCTTCCAAAATTATCGCTTGCTGGCAGACCTCAGAACTTACAGTGCTACTACTGCAGTTCGCAGTGTGGCGCTTCCCCACGCTGCTTCCAGATGATATCCAAGTGTGGACAGCGAAGCCCTTCCCACCAAACGTGGATATCACCCATTTGCCGCGACGTGCAATATACTGCACCTGCAAAGTCCGGGCCTGCCACGGGAAGAGTTCGACATGCTGCATGTGCCCATTCTGGTTCTACAGTGTAGGCATATGTGTATATCTAGTGATGCAATTTATGTTTTTCAATTATTTGACTATCACGGTTTTTCTTGCTGCTATATATCTATATGTTTTTTGTTTTTATATACGCGTACATACTGCATACACAGAAAGAGAAAGATATATAAATAATGCCTGTCCGTGCTGTGGGGGGTGGTTCGGAAAAAAAAACGCAGTCATAAGAAGACAATGGCGTCCAGTGCGGTCACGAACCCCACAGTGCGTCGGAGGGGCTTCTCCTTCATTCTCCTTTTTGTGAATATCATCTTTCGTGCAGAGTAGATTTCATTGGTAGCATCGCGAAATTCATATAATTCATCCTACCGTCGCGCTACCCCCCTCTGAAAAGGGTGCACGTTAGTGCGCGGAGTTCCACTCCGCTCGGGCATGCATTCCTTCTGTGTAAGGCTATTTTTTGTTTATTTTGATGCGTTGCTGACGTGTGGTCCTTCTAGCATGCAGACTGCATGTCGCATGAGAAAAAACAATTACTTACTATCACTGGCGTGAAAATACAAATAGATAATAGATGGTTTTTGTTTCAGGTGGATTTGCAAAAATGGTCTTTCATTTAGTCAATAATAGTTTGTATATGTGGTGATATAGTGAGGGTGTGGGCTATTTGACCTCACTGCCATGACGATATGTATAATTTGTATGATCTGATTTCTATATCGGATAAGTTACAATGACTGCATGTGGGGACGTCTCTGGAATGATGGTGAATGGATTGGGGTATAACTACCCCCAAATATCCTTAAGCCACAATGTTGAGAGGCCAGCAGAGATGTCCTCGAACATCAAAGGGTTTTTTTTCACAATCTTAGTGTCGTAATCTTTGCTATTGTTTCCTGAAAGCAAATAAAAAGTAAAAAAATCCAATCCGTTTCGGGTCCAGCGCAGGTCCAGTGATGAAGATGAAGGCAAAACATAATTGCCAAGTGACTGTTACTTTTGGGACTATTGCTATATTTGTCGAATTAGCCATCGGAGACACGGACACACATGAACAGGTCCAATATCTTTCACCGGGGTTTCATTTGGCATATTTTATTTAAGGATGATAGGCGGAAGGGATTGTAAACTAACATCAATCCCATTTTTCAGCACTAGAATGTCCATTTTCTATATGAAGTAAATCCAAAAACAAATCCTGATTTACCTGTATTTTTGTTGGGTTATACAAAGTGGAAAACCCCGGGTTTTATGTTGGTTTTTAAACCCCATTCACTATAAATATATTTACCATATTAACTTAGTTATGTTTACCAATTTGGCCAACTATGGGGCACCAGTTTGTACCACCCAAGTGGAAGGGAAAATCCAGCGACATCCAACTTGTGTCGCCGACTTGTCGACGGTGTCGTCGGTTTCAGGAATTTATTCGAATACGGGTCAAGCAGACAATGCGGGAGGTGCCGATCTCAAGAATGTCCCGGTTATTTCAAGCAGGACTGTGGGATTCAATAGTTCTACCAAGTTTTTTGAGTAGCTCTCATTTACTAACGATAGTGGTTAATAACTACTTTACTATTAGTTATAGATAGTTTCAGTAGTTTTACCCCCAGTTGCCATTGCCAAACATTTGCTTAATGACCCTTGATGCCCAATGGTTTAACCTTTCATCATTGGTTCTGTGGAAGTTTCTCTTCATTTTTTGTTCAGTGCCTTCTCACGTATATTTGGATCATCCACATAGCCTAAAAGTTGCCAAAGAGACAAGACCAGTCTAACTCAACTTAAGGTACAGTGGGTGATTGCGAAATCCTGCGCCCGTTGATAGGTGGTCAAAATCCTATTATTTTCAGGTTTCAGCCATCCTTTTGGTGGTGCCATCCACATTTTCCCAGAAGTCCTTTGGGTCCAGCCATCAAAGAGGACCCGATACAAAGGTGCAACAGGAATTGTCAAATCCTAGAGAGGTTGATTTATCCAGCAACTAGTAAACTTTGGCATGCCAATCATACCAACTATCAGTTATTCACTTATAATTCAGTTATATCATGTCATATCTGTTTTTTTTACTTGCGGTTTCTATGTTCATTCTTAAAATATCCCCACAATACCTGGTTGGTGGTTTGGAACATTTTTTATGTTTCCATTCAGTTGGGAATTGTAACCCCAACTGACTTTCATATTTTTCAGAGGGGTAGGTCAACCACCAACCAGATATGATTTGGTTTGACTCATCCTCCATTTTTTGGGTCGACCGGGTCGCCCCGGTCAAAAAAAGGTGGACCCTCAAGGCCTTGGCCGAGTGGGCATTGACATTTGGTCGCTCGGCGCTCGCAGCAGGGATATATATCCATGAAGCAAATTGGTGGCACAACGAGGAGAGAACTCATGAACCAACAGATTTCGAACCAAGAGATTTGGGGTCTATCTTTTTGTGATTCACCAATACCAAGGATGCTGACAGATCTAAGAACAGACTTTGAGACAAAATCAAAATCACAGACAAGTACTCGTACGTGATGGATCAGATTGAGTGATTTCTATGGATTCTATGGGTTTCGTGTTCCTGCGACTGGTGAATTCAGGTAGAAAAGTGTCATTTCTCATCGTGCCAGTGGGGATCCCGTATCTTCCAAATTGGCCCCCAGAGGGCCAATATGACTGCAGATCGGCTAGTTGTTTACAGGATGTGTGATGTTTAGATAGTAGATGATAGTAGCAGTCCACCCCAAAAAAATAGAACAGAAAAAAATCCGATAAAATCTGACTGAAATATATGGCAACATGTTTTTCTATCTTTTTGGGGATGACTTTTTATGCCAAACTTATGTAGAACCTCGCACTACTTGAACACGACCTCCTGCTCCAAGTCCTTTCCCCTTGCTGAATTTGAAGAAATACCGCTAAGAGTAGGTGGTATCATTGACCCGTTCTATTTCTCTAGGGGGGACTACTATATGTCGATATCATTTGTCACTGATTGTCACTGTCACTGTCTACGTCACCTCTTTTTGGGCCCTATTTGTACGTTGAATTCCCATGAAACCCATCCCCAGGTGCAACCACATGCTGCTCACTCGCTCGAGCCCCTCTGGTATGCGCGCACGGAGCTGAGGGAGAGTAGATACAGAAAATGTTGCAATTTGCATAGGAAATCATGCGAAACCATGGGATAATATTGGGTTACAACCAAGAAGGGGATATGAACATGTTCATTTCAAATAAAACTGAATTTGAGTAGGATTATATATATATATATGTATTAATTTATTTATTTTTAAGCCCGATGTTCTCGTTTGGGATTTTGAGGCCCTAAATTTGGATGTCCTTGTGAGTGACTTGGCCACGAACCCATTGCAGACAGCCTTTGGTGGCAGCAGATACTAAGGCCATGTTACATGTGAATCGACTCCTCGAATCGGCGATCCACGCGTGTGGGGCGATCTCAAGGGCGAAGGTTTGGGAGATCTGTGGATGGTGATTGTCTCGTTGGATTTCATATATCAAACCCCAACAAGATGCCATACCTTGGAAACCTGACCATCGAAGCACTATCCTGGACATATGATATATGTGCTGGAGATTGCTAAAGTATTCTATGGATTGGTTTAAGGGAAAGTCTCCAGAAACCCAATGAGGTATGCGTTTGGGCACCCTAGTAGCCTTCCACACTAAAAGATTCTGGATTGATGGATGTTCATCCAACCAAAATATGCTATGGCACTGTAGGTTTTGATTTGTCACCATATTATATTATATATTATTCTATTATATTATGTTATATTATATTAAATTATATTATGTTATGTTATGTTATTTTTTATTTTTATTTTATATTATATGATGTTTGTATTATGTTATATCATTTTATTTTTTATTATATTATATTATATGTTTTATTTAGTAGTATATATATATATTTGTTTATATCATATTATATTATATTATTTCAAGTTAAATTAAATTATAGTTTATTTTTATAGTTTTATTATATTTTATGTTATTACGTTTATTTTTTTTAATTATTTTGTATTTTATTTTTTTATTTTATTGTCCATTTATATTATTTTATATTATTTTTATTTTTTTTTATTATATTATATTATTTTATTTTATATTATATTTTATTATATTATATTATATAATATATGTAATATACATATATATTGTACAGTCATAGCTTGGTAAATGGTGTTGCGACCTCACGTCGGTTTTCCTAAACGTCACCGGAATGGTGCTGAATGGATTGGGGTAACTGTCTCCAAAACGAACCAACTTGTCAGGTGGCTGAATTACTATAATACCCTGATCTACGTAGATAGTATATATATGAATGTGTATGATAGTACTTTATTCATGTACATAGGTATCTCCAGACAATTCATAGTTGTAAGTTGTGTGTATATCATTTATGTCTAAAACATATTCATTCGGTGCATTCTGGTAGAGCAGGGTTTCAGCACTACTCAATGATTATTATTATGTGGGGAGTCTAGTTGACCCTCATGGTTGAGGAGTGGGATTAACAACTACTGTAGATGGAAACATGATGAAATCCGTACCAAGGATGTACAGGGTCAAGTCGCAAACACGACAATGTGATTATTTGAAAAACACAGGAATTTTGTGTCCTAGTGAATTTAGCCTTGGCAAATCTACTGAACGAGTCTCCTTGACACCTTGGTAATCAGTCAAAGTGCATTTCTAATCCATGTTGATCCATTTGCATTTTTTGTTGCAATCATATTTACATGTTTCAAAAAACCAGGCACCCGACTCCATGCTGATCTAGTTCCCACCATGTTGTATGTGTAAATATATATATAGATGCATGTATATAATGTGTGTATATGTATTTATATATATATACTATTTATACAAAAATGTAAATAAATATATATATATATATTATACATACATTGTCAAACTCACACAACTGTGGCGGAACCACCCGAATGCTGCTACATCCACTTGAGGCCCAAGCATTCTGGTTGCACTGCAGCATAGTTTTGAGGCCTTGGTGATGGGATTCGGCGTGGCCACTAGCGATTTTATTATCCTATAATTATAATGCACCACATACAATTTCGGCATTCCACCTGCATTGTAGGATCATTACATGTAAGGATCATAACAGGATCATAACCATACCTATAGGATCATATGATCATACCATTCCATCTGCAAAATGATCCTGTTATTCGGAGGCATGGTGCTCACCATTGTCCCCAATTTGTCAATTTGTCAAATTTCCTTTGTGCCCTCATCATCCTGAAAACGTCCCGGCAGCACCGTCACCATCCAACATCCAACAACAGCAACATCCAACATCCAACATCCGACATCAACATCAATATCCAACATCAACACGCGTGAACTAGAACCAGAGCAGGTCATTTTGGAATGTGGGAAACCCTGGCTGCCTTATTCCCAAGTCATCAGCATTTGTGTGGGTGCAGTGCTATATATATATAAACTATAGACCAGTCTTGGTAGTGGTTGCAGCGAGGCTTTCTCACATTACATCCCTCAAATTCCCGTAGAAATATCAGCATATTCAACCATTTCTCCATAGATATCAGCATCATGTTTATTTGTACCATAAACCATTTCCGACAGCTGGCCGGCCAGGTGGCAGGCCACCGTCAACCGTTGAAGCCTGGAGAGTCATGGGACGAAGATCCCGAAGGTACGGCAATGATTTCAATGTGAAATCCCACATCTATAGCCGCTATAGCCATAGATGTAATGTATTATAATGTGGGATTGAACATTCAAGTTATAATAGTTTTTTGGATGTTGTAAGTAACGTTACGTTTTCGGTTTTTGTTGGGATAAAAACCATGACCATTTTTGTCATGGCTAGATCCAATGGGAGGCGACCACGCCAACCAAGCGACTCTCTCGTGGTTCGCCGGAGGCATTCCCTTCGAAGGTTTTGATCGAGAGAGTCCGTTGCCCTCCCCAAGATATTTCCAGGCGTCCTTCGGTGTTTCCAACGGTGACTTGGGGTGATTCGTGTACCCTCTGGTATACTAGCAAAAAACTATGGAAAATCACCATTTTTAATGGGTAAATCAACTAAATACCTGTAAATGGATAGTTTTGTTAAATTACCAGAGGGTAAGGCTTCCTGCGGTTTCCAGAGTTTCCCAAAAGTCTTTTGAGTGCTGAAACATGTTCTATTTGAAGAAATCCAGCTTAATCCAGCATTGGTGCTGGAGTATCCATTTTGATCATATTGATACTTATAGAGACTCCCCATTTAGACGTCCTATTTAGATCATTAGTATCAATAATGTATATGATCATAGTCCTATCATGCAGACTCCCCAGTATCCATTTGATCATTTGATCATATTTAACGGACATACCAATAGAAAAAATTAGAACTTTCATTTCATCCCATGTCGACTTCCATGGGGTCCCATGGTTGTCACAGTGATGGAAATGGTCCCATCATCGCACTTTGGTGCGAGAGCACCAAAGTTCCAATTCATGAATAGAACCCAACTAATATGTATGTATACTATATATATATACAACATATGTATATATATATATATATTATTATATAATTTTGTGTATTGACATATACACACATAATAAGATATATATATAATAAGTATATACTGTATATATATATACACATATGTGTCCCATTCAGCGCCATTTTCAGACGGGATTTAGCCAGTTGACAGCAATCAATCCCTTCCACCGCATGGTACCCACGCCCGCCGTGGAAGCCGTGATGCTCATTGCAGGAAGCACCAGAAGTCACGCCGGAAGCAGTGTATCTTGACTCCCATTAGCAAGAACCATGAAGATGGAGTGTGAGTTTGGTGAAGATCATACTTATACAATCTAATATTAATATGACTGTAACATCTATATTAATATAATGTTATGCTATGTTATGATTTATTAAGTTAGATATGTTAGTAAATGTGTGAAAATTGAAAGTACTGTGTTTGATTTAATTTACCACTGACGGATATAAATATCATGCATGTACGCATGCTGCCGGCAGGGATGTCGCCCACCGGCTGATGCCAGGCACGTATGTATAAATATAGATAGATAGATAGATAGATGGATAGATAGATAGAGTCAGTTTTCTTTTCCCCCTCTGCACATTCATTGCAGTGCCTCGGGGCTCCCATTTTGGAAGTACCAATTGGGTACTTCACGCAGATAGATAGATAATGATAGATAGATAGATAGATAGATAGATAGAATGATAGAAAGATAGAATGATAGAATGATAGAATGATAGATAGAATGATAGAATTACATCATGCTTAAGTGGAAGCAATAACTACAAACGGCTTTAAAACATGCTGAGGAACAATGCGACAGAACTTCAGCTGGGACGAACTACGGAAATAAGCATCAGGTTTTTTCGTGAAAGGACCGGTTCACTCTAGCACAAACAGTTTCTACTTGATGCAAGTGGTGTGATTTGGTGAGAAAACAGTCTATATATCTTATATGTTAGATTAATTTATGCATGTAATCTATCGTACGTATGGAATCTTTTTAAATCATATTTTCTATGTGTCTTACGAGTCATACATATCTAGTCATCCTGAAGTCATTATATAGATAGAATATCACACGTTCAAAAATATCTCAGTGCCAAGGAACGAATTCGAGGTCAATCGACATCGCGCGCAGCTCAGGATGTGCGTTTCAAAGTGAGGGGTGGCCAGTGCAACCATAGTAATTGTTGGGTTATAGGCTTATATCCAATTGAATGTTGATAAATGTTATTCATTATTACAAGTATGAATCTACCAAAAGAACAAGGTTTTACATGGAGATACTATGTTTCGATATTCCTGTATATTTTATGTTGATATCCAAATCAACAATTCACCGACAAATGCAGCTGGTTTATGCTTTAGGCGTTTTTTCTGTTAGGCCCGATGCGGTCCACTGTTCTTCGAAAACATGGCACGGAAACTCGCCAAACATGGCGGCATCAAAAAAATGACCCTTGAAACAAGGATGGCTGTTGCTTGCACCTTTCGGTGTTTCTATTCCATTCCAAAGTGGTGGGGTGAAACCGATTGACAGATTGACCTTTTGATTTTTTTGGGATGGGTGGCCCAACAACCAAGTCTGTGTTCGCTGGTGTATCACCGTGTCATTCGAACGTTGCATCTTAATGCGTGGTTTCTGGTATTATTGCCAGAAGTTTCCATTGATATTTACATCAGCTTGATTCAACTTGCACGTTTTGTTGGTGTTTGTGTCATGTTTATGGATGGACCCTCCATATGTTATTACAAAATCCCGGATGTTTGTTGCTCAATTCAGATCTTTTGTGGTCGTCATATGAAGGTTTCCTGAAATAGGAGTACCCCTAAATCATCCATTTTAATAGGATTTTCCCCTATAAACCATCTATAAAATGGGTATACCCATTTATGAAAAACACCATATTTCATGGCTGCGTCTCACCATCCACACTTCCTGAGATCGAGAATCAGACACCTTTCCCATTGAGGAGCACGACCGTGACCGCCATGGTGAAATGACATTAAACTGAGAGAATTGGGTTACAATGGGAATAAGAAAAGTGGAGCTTTGATATCTAAGGATGCTATAAATATAGAATAATATAGATATATGAATCAATGAAGTCATTTTGATGCCAGAGAATCAGAGAGAAGCTATGTGGTGTTTGAACCAATGAACAATAGATTTTTTTCAGGAACAGAACCAGAGTTTTTTCAGCACTGGAAGATTGGGATCTCGGAGTCACCAGGCTCATCACCCGGCACCTTTGGCAGGAGATTCTCACGATCTTCTCCCAAAAGCTCTGGCAATTTCGACCCAAGTTCGATGGCCCCACCAAACGTCGCTTGGTGGGCGAGAGTTTTCATGGTTCTGCCAAAAACCTCGTCAGTGGAAGATGCTGCACCTATTGTGATTATTCCAGCCATCTGCTAACTGTTGAAATCTATAATGTGGTTAAAACACTCATGTTTACCATCCCCCAAATCACCATAAATAGATATAAATAGGTGGTAAGTTTACCATTCCCAGTCATGGGTGGTTTATGGCATTGTTTTAACCACACTAGTTAGATATCCCATTATCCCCGTGATGGTCCCATTATAATACCATGTTTATCCTACTATTATCCCTTATAACGATTAATGATAGTTAATAATGGTTAACTATGGAAAATCACCATGCTATTTTCATGGATAAATCCACTATTTCTGTGGCCATACATACATATTATGGCATTGTTTTAACCACATTATGGCCATACATTCCTCACATCCTCGGAAGTTACCAGGTCGAACGGACTTCACATATACCAGTCCTGAGTCGTTTGGGTATCCCAGTGGAGCCACCGTCGATTTCGGTGTTTTTATTGTTCCATTTTGGTGCCAGAAATGCATGAAACAAACGCAACTAAAACATGACTGTACCGTGGTATTCATTCTATTTTTTCCACTCTTTTGGGGAAAACTGGGAAAACCATGTTGCATTCATTTTGCATCTTGACAACTGAACATGATGATCTCAAACTTGACTCAACATGTAACATATAGCGGCCCCAATTCCAAAAGAAGCATAATATGTGTTCTAGTTCAAGCATGTTCAAGCCCTGTAATTTCCATGGATTCAAACGTGTTTCCCCCAACACAACCAATCATGGATTGATAAACCCTAGGGAAACTCGTCCCAAAAGTGAGTGAAATGGATTCTTGACCTATTCCCCAGCATTTTTCGAAATGGGTTCGCCACTGCAGCGACGCCGATGCTAGATTCGTCAAAGAAACTCTTCGGTCGATGGACTTGGAGGGTGAGGAGCTCAGAAAAATGAAGTGACGCTTCAATGGGTAAATGAGGATGGGTTGAAACCCATGGGTTAAGACCTGATGAAGGAATGGGACACGGGGGTACTCTCTGGTAAACATACTCATAACTATGGAAAATCACCATTTTTTATCGGTAAATCAACTATTTCTATGGACCATTTGCAACAGCTATGTTTACCAGAGGATATGAACATCCATTTACTTGTAGATTGTACAAGCTATTTTGATGTGAACAAAGGGATACCAGGGTTTTTGACATATTTTGACCCATTGCCAAATGATTTCAAGTGAACTTTTGATGATGACTTTAGTACTTTACTATCTTTACTTTTTCCTGTAAAGGGTGATATACTATATTAGATGACATTATATTATATTAACCTAAGCATCATTTTTTCCAGGACATTCAAGATTCACCATGACTGAAGTAAATGGACCTGAGGATGCAACGATCAGCACGGCGGCCGCGGGGTGAGGAGACACCTCTGGTTTCCCACGGAAATGATGACCTCAAATGGTTAGGTTTCTATGTTCTTAGACCCTCCGGAAATTTTGACCCCAAAAATAGTAAAAAATATTAAGATTATGTGGTCAAACAACACCATTTCTGTAAAATTATGAAGTAAAACACACATTTTTTCTGCCAAATGTCGGGGTAACAACATGATGGCTACCATTTAACAGCCATAAAACAGCCATAAACAACACAATTTATGGCTAGCCCGGGGAAAGCTGATTCACCGGCGGTATCTTCGACGCCTGCGACGTTCGAGGCCACATGTTGGTGTCCTTCAGCGACTTCTTGGCCTTGTGTTTGGGACGCCAGGAATGGTGCCTTAGCTGATTTCATCATCTATGGTTTACCCTCTGGTAATTTAACCAGCAAAAATTGAATTTAACCAAGAAAAATGGCGTTTTTATGGTGAATGAAGGGGTTTATAACTGGTTTAAGGGATTTCATCATCATCTGAGCCATTAAAAATACCTTTGTTGAATGGTTTGTATAGGGAATTGTACTACCTATCTTTTTTTTCGGATTATCATAATCCATGGTGGGAACACCTATCAACCCACTAGTAGAATGAGATGGGAAAGGGGTATTTTTCATGGCTCATCTATGGTTTAGTGCTTAAAGCCATAAAGATAGGTAGATAATCTGTAGTATTTACATAATATTGATATGATGGGTTTAATATATGGTCTTTATGTTTCTAATAATGTCGAATGATTATTTATCTATGTATGTATATATAGAGATACATTATTAATGATGGTTGGTAGATAATTGTTTCATTATTGAATTTCAAGTTGACGTACATTTATATACAGAATATATATATATATATACATACTTATATATAGACACCGCCCCGTTATATATAAATGTACAACAATGTACATACAGCCCGAGCGCTGGTTAAGAATCCGAAAGCTTGAGGTCCAGGGTCCCTCAAATTCTTATTTTTAAATGCAGGCGAATTTACACCACAACAGGCCGAGGGTCCCTCAAATTCTTAGGGCATTCTTAGTTATGTATTGCATGCATCTGCACAAGTTGGAGCAAGCTTAAACGAGGTAACAAGGTGGAGTTGGCAGATTTGAAGGTCTTGGAGGTCGGAAGTTCGATTCCCGGCTCGGTGCTTTTCGCCGAGTTATTGGGTAAACAATGTTCCAGGTCCCCAAGTCTACCCGCATATGGATTTTGGGTAGATTGGAAGCAGTCCAAGCATGCGCGGAAAAAAAATCGGAGCTTGAAAACTTGTTTTTCTGCAAAGCCCAATTTCATCCCGTATGACAATATAAGGGGTCACGCCAAAAAAATGAACCGCAAAGGGAATTGCAAACCTCACGTATAAGCAGTAATTTAAGAGATTGGCAATTCGATCACAGGGTCCCTCAAATTCTTAAAGTACTATGTGTTTGGTATACCTGGAAATATGTAGCCCGCCTTGGATTCGAGCCCCTCAAATTCTTATACAGTGAATTCTTGTACAATACTCAAGCTGTAAATATATATATTTATTTATATTGATTGATTTGATTGATTGATTGATTGATTGATTTGATTTGATTTGATTTGATTTGATTTGATTGATTGATTGATTGGATGGATTGATTGATTGATTTGATTGATTGATTGATTGATTGATTTGATTGATTGATTGACTGATTGATTGATTGATTGATTGATTGACTTGATTGATTGTTTGATTGATTGATTTGATTGATTGATTGATTGATTGGTTGATTGATTGATTGATTGACTTGATTGATTGACTTGATTGATTGATTGATTGATTGATTGATAGATTGATTGACTTGATTGATTGTTTGATTGATTGATTTGATTGATTGATTGATTGATTGATTGATCGATTGATTGATAGATTGATTGACTTGATTGATTGTTTGATTGATTGATTGATTTGATTGATTGATTGATTGATTGATTGATTGACTTGATTGATTGGTTGATTGATTGATTGATTGATTGATTGATTTGATTGATTGATTGATTGATTGATTGGACATTATTCATAATCGTGAATTCCCATCAGCCAACCCTTGATTTTTGAGATGTTCCAATATGTTTTCGACACTCCTCCCCCCTTGACCCAGTGGTGTTGGATGTTGTTTGTACAACTGGTGTTTCAGCAAAAAATGTGGCTTCATACGGATGCGCTTAGCAAACATCGCAACGAGGCTTTGAGACCAACTACTAACTAACAACCAAGCATGAACCACGGATGAATCCTGGGTATAACGGAGTAAAGATAAAGTTACATGAAATTATAGCCATCTCCAACCACAAGTCACTTGATACAGTGACCCAGTTCAACGATCTGTGTGGCCGCTTGACTAAGCAATACTAGGAACTGGGTGACAAAACAAATCGACCAGATTGTTCACAACACCTTTGTTATGTGTATATACTGTATATATATATATATATATTTATACAATATGTATAATTATATAATATTATATGCATTTTTTCGCTGGCATGTGAAGCGTCTCGTGCCATTCATGCATGTACAGCAAGTATGCATATATAATCATATATATATATACATATGGGTAAATTATAACGACCTCACTGCTACCTCACTGGAATCATGGTTGATAAGGGGAATCATCCCAAAATGGCCCAACATTTCAGGTTAGTGAATTATTGTAATGTGCCCAGATATATGGTTTACCCTCTGGTAATGACTAATGTAGCTACTGAAAATGGACCATAGAAATAGTATGAAATAGTTGATTTACCTATTCTAAATGGTGATTATATATGTGTTACCCTCTGGTAAACTAACATAGACCCTGAAAATTGCCTAATTTTAATGGAAACTAACCTTCCAACCCCAACAACTGCCAGGGTCTATGTTAATTTACCAGAGGGTATATGAGCTTGTCCATCATGTCGGGAAAAACCTTAAAACCGTTGACCCTGAGGAGCCGCACGGGATGAACGCCCTTTGACTTGGCACGACCTATGGCTATCGACACATTGTCAAATATCCAAGATGTTCATAGTCTCTGAAACTGAGATACTGATATAGTATACTTTATCCTTTTGTATATATATATATACATATATATATATATCAATGTATTGCATCATGATGCGTTTTCAGCATGTAAATCATACGGCATCGTAACTGGTTGTGTTTCCCATATCAGCCATACCCGCCATCGAAATTCGGTGACCGGAGATGTCAAATCCGAGGCCAGTCCAACTACATCTCTACGACCTGTCCAGAGGTCGGGCCTGGGGATCGCTCGATCGCGATGGATCCGAGCCGATTAGGATTTCATGGGGATTGGATGGATGGATGCGGTTTTTGGAATATCATGTTATATATATATACATATGGAATATAGTGGGAATATAGTGGGAATAATTTAGTGGGAATATATATATATATGTATATAAATGTATCATGTTATTTGGAATATAGTGGGAATTCACGGAATGTAGCCAAGTAGCAGTAAATGAGCAGTCGCTGAAAGATACCCCTCTTGAGGATTAGTCGGGGCGTGATCCATGACAGGCTTTTGAACACTGCTCTTAAATGATTTCATCGAAATATATGCGTCCCCCGAAAACTCATGGTTTACCAATGTTTACCATTTCCTCAATTCAAATTGCTATACCTTGGGTATACCGCATTTTTTATAGACACCCAAATGTGGTTGAATCACTTCGGATTCACTTGGGAATGGGGTTGATCAACCGAAATTGGGGGAACAGCAGCAGAAAATATGGATGTTGAACCAAGAAGCTTGTTGATCTAAGCAGGATTGCTGTTTCACCACTAAAAACTGGATATAGGGGTCTTTTAAAGTGATGGGCCCAGCAGCCAGTTATCTTGATATATCTTGATTGGATTCGAGATGCGGAATCACCATGCTGATCTCCCAGTTAAATTTGGTGAAATTCTGTGGTCATTTTTCAGTCAGGTGCCCATTGGTGTGGGACATGGACATCTTGGCTGGTTATTGTGAGTATTTTTAGGCCCATGGTTGACCATAGATTGACTGGTCATGGTTTGTTGTAGATCATGTAGATGTTTGCATTAATGATTTAATGATGATGGTCGAAAGTGTCCTGTAATGACATATCCGCACTTTGCAGGGGCTTAATGGCCATAAAAACAAGAGTTGCTACCTTCGTCATGGGGCAATTACACTGGGTTCTGTCAACTCGTGCAACAAAAATGCAAAAACTGAGATAGTAGCAAAGGCCACCATTAGCTGACGTCCAGCCTCAAGACTTACATGTCAGTACAGAGTACATGGTTGATATACGTGCTTACCTAAATCTACGTTATATTTAAACGTTCCTTATGCATCCAGCCGTACCTTATGCATCCGGCTGTACCTGAGGGAGTGTTTGGGCTATGATTTGGTATATCTCTGACGTTCCGGCTTTAACGTTCCTTTTTAGGAACTATTAGGGTCCACAGGAAGAATATATGATAATATATGCATATACATAATTACCACATACTATATACATCAGCATACATGTGTATACTATCTATGTATAGATGTACTCGTTATAAGTCTATGTGGGCGCGCAACGCTTTCGCGACCCCAATGGAAGGGCAACCCCTTATATACATATTATATACATATTTTATACACATTATGTACATATTATATACATAGTGTACACATATTATTTACATAATATATATATATATATATTTTAAACATGATATACATCTTATATACATATAAATACATATACTATTCATTGGTTGATGATCAATGGCAAGCTATCCTCGCGAAGGTTTAGCCTCGATGTTGGGTCCCATGTTGCTCTCCAAAGACTTGGAGGCGCGGCTGTGGTTATCCCACCCGGTTCCAATGGGGGAAGGGATTTTTTGATGATGTTACTGTATACATCTGGGTAAATCATAACGACCTCACTGCGACCGAGCCCTGGAATCATGGTTAGTAAGGGAAATCATCCCCAAATGGTCGAACTATTCAGGTTGGTGAAATATTATAATTTACCCAGAAATATGAAGAATACATCTTTATGCAGATACACATAGTATTCACAGTAATGATTTATGTGATTTAGTTTGCTGTTGTAGATACATGATCACATGTGATACATTGTATATATGTAGACATTTGTGCATTTGTTCCAACTTTGGAGGCAAGAGCTGGCAACAATCTCATACACTGCATATACACTGCATATTCGAGATGGGAAGGCACTGTTCGCGTTGTTCATCTCAAGAGGTTTCGAGATGGGACGCAACAGTTCTAGTTGCGAGGTATCCATCTTCCCCATCAAATGGGGAGCTATGGAGCTAAGAGGTTCCAAACCACGTGCTAGTTTGTGCCATCCAATGTTGGAGCTCAATCATTTGAGCCATGGTTTTGTTATGATTTCTTGCAAAAATTGATGCGCGTCAGCACGGCCTGAAACCTTCAAGGACTTCTGTTTGACTGTCATATCGTCAGGCGGATTTGAACATGATCATGAAACATTCCGCTATAAACATTACAACTGGTTGGTGGTTTGGAACAGTTTTTATATTCCATAATAAATATATGGGATAATCCTTCCCATTGACTTTCACATTTTCAAGATGATTAAAACCACCAACATTAAAAGTGATGAGGTAAACCCAATACCATCTGCACCATCCCGGCAACCAACCTTAGTTGGGGGGTTCTTTGAATCATCCTAGTTATGACGAGGTATACCCCCATTTTCATAAATCTCAAACTTGGGCATGGTTTATGATACTTGTTCCATCCATGATCCATGATCATTATCCCACTATTATCCTACATAACAATCCATATTTTCCTTTCTTGTCTCATTCTACTTGTTGGCTCATTCAGGGTCAATAACCCACTTAGTGGGATGAAGCGCCACGTATCACGTATATCCCATTGGCTTTGTATACCACACTAATCTACTCCACGACCGGCTCCAGGGCGTTTGGCACACCGGCATTGTGGTCTACGGCAAGGCGAACAACGGTGCGGTAGGCGGTAGGTACCTCGCAGTGCGCCAGGTCACCAGTGCCATGTGACCCAATGACGTAGTTACGCTGCAGATAGGGTCAGAACATGGGATTCATATTGAATTCATAATATTGAATTCATATTGGATACCCTCTGGTAATTTGTTACATAGCTGTTGAAAATGGCCATAGAAATAGTGGATTTACCCATTGATAGCATGGTGGTTTTCCATAGTTATGTAAACGTTTACCAGAGGGTAATTTTATAGTTGTTTATAGATATTTTATTGTCATCCATCCCATCAATGTCTCATGGGAATCCTTTTTGTTTGGATATATAAATCCCTATTCATTGAAGACCATCCCCCTGATGGCCTTGCTGCTGAGCTATTTCCAGGTTGGTAAATGAATTTGTATGGTTGGTGGTGACTGGAGCAATAATAGTGGTTTCCCAATATAGTGGTTAATAGTAGTGGTTAATAGTGGTTAATAATGGTTAATGAAATATCTGGTTGGTGGTGACTGGAACCATGGAATTTTATGACTTTCCATATATTGGGAATGTCATCATCCCATTTGACGAACTCCATCATTTTTCAGAGGGGTAGGTTGAAACCACCAACTAGTATATGTATATATTATATTCATAGACATATACGGCAAATGCCTGGAGTTTCCCGGGGGGTCTCAAGAATTCAAATTCCTGCGCAGTCCCACTGAAAATCTCAGTTTCCTAAAGAGCAAAGCCAAAAAAACACTAAGCCTAAACCCTAAAATCCTAAACCCAAGAACTTAAATACAAAATCCATCAAAATCCTATAAAATCCTCAATCTTAAACTCTAACCTCGAACACCCTCAAACCCTAAATCACTGGATCATATAACGAGTGTGTTTGCAACTTCTCCAAACCATGTTGGCCGCGCGAACAATCCTTAATTGCAATGCCCGGCAAAAGTGCGGGCATTGTACGTATACCTACACGCGTATTTCCAACGACCTTCCATCGCTTTTGTCCCATTGGAATTGTGATGTCCACACCATGCGCCGGATTGAGCATGCTTTGTTATGATTGCCACCATGAATCGCACAGAAATAACTGATGTTTCTTCATCATTGTCAAATATTTCCAGAAAAAGAATCTCTGAAAATACATGGCTCACATGTCCGGCTGAAGACTTTGTAGGGAGACAAGACCCTACATAGGCGACAGCAGGCAGATATTGCATGTTCCTAAGCAGGGATGAGTTGCCTCTGGCTCTACTTAGTGTTACTTTATGATATTACACTATTTTATGATGAAACATAAAATATGTATGTATGACATTTACATATTCCCAACCTATAATTACACTAATATATAATCATTGATTAATATACACTGACTACGCAAAAAAGAAAAAACATTAATGGCGATTCGAATCAAGCGCAACGACTCTTCGGCAACCCGGGCAACCGCCCGCACGGCAGGAGTACTACTTCGGCGGTGACATTTTCTATGACACTCCGGCGAACACCGGCTTTGGCACCCCGAGGTGAGCCCAGTTGTAATCCAAGGACGACACGACGCTGACACTTCGCAGTTGGGCAACAAAAAACGATGACGAAATATTAGCGTAATAGCATGTAATAGCTACTTAATGCTACTTTAATATATATTATATATATAATTATATAGTATGTAATTAATAGATTATATATTAGTCAAATTGTAACGTTAACTTTCTGCTAATATATATATAGATATATAAACTATGACATAATATAAAGTGTGTCTGATATAATTCTAGGTCATATGGCTCAGCTCTTGTCTCAGGAATAAAATACTTTACTGCTGGAAATTTAACAGTTGATAGTTTGCTATGGATAATGGCCCATGGATAGAGGATTTAACAATGTTTAACCATTAAACATGGTGGTGTTCAATAGCTATGTTAGATTACCAGAGGGCAATCCCTTCGCCCACTCATATGGGTTATACCCCCATTCTATGGTCCGAAATATTTGTAATGTTCAATCCCCTACTAATTACAATGTTGGTGGCTGTTTTATATGAGGGGGCGATGGGATTGTGTTTTGTCGACTTGATTTTTCAGGTGGACGACTGAGACCGTCAAAGCTGTACCCTGGGTACCCTGGGTACCCTGGCATCCTGGGGTAAACTGTAAACATACAAAAAGCTTTGCAGAACTCATGGTTTTTGCAGGAAACTGATCTACGAACGGTGGGTTTTTCTCCGCATCGAACTGTTAGTTTGCCGCAGGCTAACTGCTGTTGAGTTCCCGAAACAGGACTGAATATGTTCATGGCGCATCACGGGTTCAACCAGACTCCTGATTTTCCAGGGCCCCAGTTCGGGGCGTTTCCGGGATGTCTACCATATCAATACTGTCATATCATTGTATATCTAGACATCCACATCTACCCAGCACTAAACAAACGTAGATATGCAGCATGCATCATTCGTAGATCATTTCCTGGGCAGACCATGGATTATCCATATTTGTTAGATTATATAGAGATATTAAAAATACTGGTGAACAGTGACTATCTGGTTGGTGGTTTGGAACAATTTTTATTTTTCCATAATATATGGGATAATCCTTCCCAACTGACTTTCATATTTTTCAGAAGGGTAGGTATACCACCAACCAGCTATCATATTCTCCAACCTAGCCGTTACCAGTGAGTTATGTTTGTTGAACTGTTTGTTGGTTGGTGTTCACCCCATACAAAACTATAGATAATTATAGATATTAATCTAGCATAAACCATAGTTAACCTACTCAAAGGTTCACCAACTGAGCTATCGAAACTGGGGCATTAAATCCCATATCCCATGGAAAAATAGCTGAATATCCCACTAAAAAACCCAAATGATCTATCATGATCTATCAAATTCTACCATAAGTTGATAAATTCTATATGGTTGTTCACCATGTTTAACCAGGTGTTAACCACGTTTAACCATGTTTAACCCGATAAAATGATGCTGATTGACCCTTGATGAAGTCGTGTCAGGCTGGTGATTCCATTGGGCACCACTTTACGCCAGCGTGACGAACTGCATGCGTGCCTGGGCTTCACCTGAGAAACCATGGCATGATTATGTAACTATGTATAATCACTATTAATCACTAGAACGTATACATATATGTACATATATATATAGTATGTCGTACTTATATAAAATTATATATATAATTATATATAAGTAGTACCGCACAAGGCGGTGGCGGAAGCTTCAAAAATAGGAAACCAATAGGAGGGATTGGTTGTTGTGAATCATTGATGGCAGAGCGAAGCCACTGATGGATCGAAAGGTGATTGATGTCTCCCATCTTTCTCTCTCTTTTTCTCTCTCTCTCTCTCTGATTATCTACCTACCTATCTACCGATCTATCTATCTTTCTATCAATCTATCTATCTATCCACCCATCCATCCATCCATCCATCCATTCTATCCTATCTATCCATTCTATCCTATCTATCCTATCTATCTATCTTTCTTTCTATTTAATCTATCTAATCTATCTAATCTATCTAATCTATCTAATCTATCTAACCTATCTATTCTATCTAATCTATCTAATCTATCTAATCTATCTAATCTATCTAATCTAATCTAATCTAATCTAATCCAATCTATCTATCTATCTAACTATCTATCTATCTATCTATCGATCTATCTATCTATCTATCTCTCTATCTATCTATCCATCCATCCATCCATCCATCCATCCATCTATCTATCATTATCTATCATTATCTATCTCTCTATCTATCATGATCTATCATTATCTATCTATCTCTCTATCTAGCTATCTAGCTATCTATCTATCTATCCTATCCTACCTATCCTATCTATCTATCTATCTATCTATCTATCTATCTATCTCTCTATCTATCATTATCTATCATTATCTATCATTATCTATCTCTCTATCTATCTATCTATTATCTATCTATCTATCTATCTATCTATCTATCTATCTATCTATCTATCTATCTATCTATCTATCTATCATTATCTACCATTATCTATCATTATCTATCAGTTTATCTATCTATCTATCTATCTACCTGTCTATCTGCAAGCTTGAAAACCTGGCTATTCTACGAGACTTCTTCATTTTTCCAAGTTGACAACATCAAAAAGGCAGCACTTCTGCGGCGAGACTTCCTCATTTTTTGAAGTTGACCACATCAAAAACGAAGCAATTCTGCGAGACCTCCTCATTTCTTAAAGGTGACCACATCAAAATCGAAGCAATTCTGCGAGACTTCCTCAATTTTTGAACTTAACAACGTCAAAAACGAAGCAATTCTGCGAGACTTCCTTCAAAAATGGACAGTTGACTGCAGAGCTGACGGCCTCGTGCCAATGCGTTTTGCGATTTTTCCAGTCCATCTGTCTAAACTATTGCGCCTGCCACGAAAGAGTGATGCCAGGTCATACAAAGTGCTGCGCCTGTCACGCGAAATCATCTCAGCAAACCTGAAGATCTGATGCTCCAAAATGCAACCCCTCTCAGGAAATCAGCGCCCTGACCTCCGAACAGCTCCGATGAAAATGTCTCTTGTATTGCGCCTGCCACGGAAAATGCTTCTTTGCAGATCTTCTTCAGATGTCCCACGCCTGCCATCGTTTTTGGCAATGCTCCAAAACCCTGACGTTTTGCTCACTTTTGAGAAGGTGCACAACCCCTTGCGCCTGCCACGGGAAACGAGCTCTGAACGTCCAAAAGTGGTCCGCACGTGGTGTGTTTTGTATTTTGACTTCGAAATGTGCTTCGCGCCACAACGGCGTGCACTTTTTCGACATTGCAACTTCTAAAAGTGGTCCGACCCTGGTGTGTTTTGTACATTTTGACTTAGAAACGCGCTCCGCGCCACAACGGCGTGCAATTTTTCATCTCTCATCTGGCCAGATGGCTCCGCACCCGCCGCTTTAGCGAGCCTACTTTTCGACCCTCCGGAGCCACAAATCATTGGAAAAAACACAGTGTTTCGCGACTTTCCTACCTTTTCGCGCATCTGCGTCTTCTTTCTTTTGACTCTTTCACTTCTCTGATCTGCTCTCTTCTACTCTTCTCCTCTCTCTGCCTCTTCCCATCTCTGCTTTTTCATCTATCCACATTGTCGGAAGTTTGACTTCTAAACTTCCTTCGATAATTATACCAATATAATCCAATATATATATATATATATATTGATGCATTTTTTCTGCGATATGCATTAATACATATAGTTTCATACATATATATATATTGCTAGCCACTGGAATTCGAACCAAAGTGGGGTCACCATTTGATGATCATAACCTCGTCTTGTGCTTTTCAATGAACCCTATATGGAGGGACTCCAAGTCCAAGAAATTACTTCCGTGGCAATGCGGTTCTCATCTGCTGCCCCAACCAAGATGAAACAAAAAATAAGAACAAATTCGGGATGGTGCCACCCAGTGATAAGTTGGTTTATAAATACCATTAACTATAGCTATATCTACCATAAGCCATATTCAAACCACTTATGTTCACCAACTTAGCTATCTTAGGGGCCCCATCCTGTAGGGGTGTGTCTGCCAATGGGGACTGCAGATCTCTGGGTTCCCAAAAAAAAAACCAAACCCAGCTGCGCCGAAGGTTTATTGTTGACGAGTTGAAACCCATTTTCAACCGCGAGGTACCCGGTAGTACCGGTAAGGGGTGGCTTCACGACCATGAAAATAGAAGCAGCAATACCTGGAGGCAAACGAACTTATAGATCTGAAGGATCTCCAAACGGTGGTTGTTCTGGGCAGATTCGAAGATTGCCCACCCATTTCTGGACATACACAGAAGGACAACAAACAATATCCTGAAGTGGCTCGAATGATTCTTGATTGTCATGTAATTATATATGTTTTTTTGATGTAGAAACTTCCTATAACTACAACTGTCTCTCTCATTCTATTCCCTGAAACATATTCTGTTGGTGATTCCATTATAAACTATCCATTTTGGGGTACCCCCATGGAAACCCCTATATTTCCACCATCAGTTGCCGCATGTCGCTAGGCATATGATGCAGCGAGGAACAACTGCAATCACTTCACAGATCGAGCCAGTTTGTTCCTAGTTCGGGGCCCTTGGCAGCCGCATCAGTTTCCACTTTTCCCAATGGGGGACACCAGCACACCCCAAATGCTCATTCGAATGGGGTTCTGGAACCACTGGGAAAAATCAGATTGGTAATAATTGTCTATCAAAGACATGAACAATCTACCCTCTTCACTCCTAGTGATTCTTAATGCAGAAATATATTTTTTATCTGAATGGGTTTTGTGGTAGCCAACCCAAAAGCTTGGACAATGGCAACGCAAGTTTTCTTTTGGCGTTGATACATGGCGACTCTTCGAATACCAACCATACTTTGGGTAGGGCTCACGAAGATTATGAAGTTCCAAAGTTCCAAAGATAAGAAAAAATCTGGTCAGAAACTTGGGCCCAAACTGAATAGCCCCCGGTTTTTTAAAACAAAATGTCCACCTATTTAGACAAATTTTAGCCAGAAATGCACCATTTGTAGATGGTCTTCCTATCCAGCCCAGGTAGGACGTCACATCCCAGAGGACGTGTTGGAGCAGCCTCAGCTCATGCTCTCCGGCATGAAAACTCGGGAGTTCACTTGGGAAATTCACTTGGGAAATTCATGGGGATTTCATGAGTTTTTTACTATTACTAATGGTCTGATTTGGGTTGGTGGTTTCTGTGTGCAATACTTCCAAGCCTAGAAACGAGAGGATCCCCAGCTGACAACCAGTTAGTAGATGCTTCGTTGTGGCGTGATCCTTTGGCGCTGGAGGCAATATGATATCCATTGATATCCCACTGAACATCCATTTGGTTTGGGGGAGTTGTTTAGCAAAGACCAGAAAGGGCAAGCACGATTTCTTTTTGGCCTTCACAATTCCCGAATAGGATTCTAGAGCCGCTACGTTTGCATACCTTGCGTAGAACCATGGAAATACCTTGTCGCCTTTGCTCTTATTCTATTCCTTGTCCCATGGCAAAAGATCAATGGATCTTTTTCACAAGATCTTGTAAGCAATGAATCCAGGTTGGTTTAACATGTTTTGTTCGTCCGTTTCTGTTTGGCATCATTGCTTTAGTTTAACGGTGTTTTGGCTGGATCATGGCTGCTAGCCAGATTGAAGATGTTGACTCACACATGATTGCAAGCTAAATCCGCAGCTTTGATTGATTACTCAATTCTCTACAATGTTTAGAGATGCGTTTACGAGTTTTCTGTCCCATGTCTGTTGGTCAGGTCCCAATTTTAATTGTTCCAATCCCAGCTTGGTGATTTCATTCAAGAAGAATCAAAACAATCATCAATATTCTCCCTCATATTATCCAATCATTCTTGAAGCTGATGATTCTCCAAAATAACTTCGTTGGATCCTGTTGACTGGTTCAGTCCCAAAGTCCCGCCTCGGCCCAGTCTGGACACGGCGCTAGGGCGAGCGTTGCGTTGGGGGCCCTGGCCATGGCCATGGAAGAATTGGCAACGCGATTGGAAAAGATAGGAAAATGCAGGGAATATATGGGAAAAATATCGGGAAACTGTGGGAGGCATAGGAAAACGGTAAAGAAAAGATCGGGAAACCATGGGAAACTTGATGATGAACCAGTGGATGAGATGGTGGTAACAAAAACTCTAATTTTTTAGATACATCAAAATCAAGACACATGGGGATTTTCAACAAGAGACATCTTGGGCCACCAAATGAGGGCACCAACATCCACATCCGTCCGTAAATGCTGTGTGAGATTAGAATTCGCTTGTGAGAGAAGAAAACCTTGAGTCAAAATAATGTCAAAATAATGTAAAAATGAGCACCTGATTATATACGTTTTACTCTGTCATAGAGATTACCTTCCCCTTCACTTTTCCTTCAAGATCGCGGCCAGTTGAATCAACAAGTTTTCACTGTAGAGATCTTACTGGTATGACAAACCGCAGAGTAGTATGTTCGATTGTTTGGATGGAAGGTTAATAGTTTAACTTGCTTTTGACAAACCTTCATGCAGGCACAGAACCAACAAAAAATGCACATTGTCACAAGAAGCCATGTTCCAATTCCTCATGATACATAAATAGCTAGCTCATGCCAATAATGGGAAGTTTGAGAATGATGTGCATCATTGATCATCATTGAATCATGGAAAAATAGAGATTTTATGCCTTGAAACAAGGACGACCATTTCGCACCAATGACGACCAACCCACGTCAGGTCCGGCCATTAATCGTGTCTTGGGAAGGCTGCTGCCACTTTTTTTGGGGATGTGGTGGGTCAGGCTGACCTGAGGGCCAAAAAACGCGTGCAGATCGTCTTGCCCTTAACATAGATCCATTCTCCAACAAATTTTACTCATGTTGTTCATGTGTCATCTTTTTTTTTCGGGTCTTTCTATTGGGATTTTTGGCGGAATCCTCAACGTTTCCCTCAAGGCGTTTCGAGGCCAATGAGAGCGCAGCAACCATCTCGGCCACTGGAACTAGTGGGGGAGTAGGGCTGAAGTGGAAAATATAGGGAACATATAGGGTAAATATGAAATGTGGGGAAATGGAGGAAAACTATGGGATGTAGGGAAAAAAATAGGAAAATTGAGGTGAACATATTTTTTCACATGATGATTCAGTGGATGGAATGGGGGATTTTTTTTCACCATCCAGGGAGAGGCCATTCAGGATCCCACTTTCCGGCGCAGATGGTTTTTGTTGGTGTTTTTCATATTAGCAGAAGGGGTGGTTCATAGAAACTGCTTGGTGGTTTGGAGTTTGGAACCATGGAATTTTCTGAATTTCCATTCAGTTGGGACTGGAAAATCATCACTGACGAAGTCCATCATGTTTCAGAGGGGTAGGTAGACCACCAAGCAGAAAAGAGTGCATATGGACATAAAAAGCGTTAATATACAGACTCCACAGACAAAAAGTCAAAGACGTCTATCATTGAACCCATGTGTTTCTTGGTGCTTACATAATCGCGCGACCTACTTGCTGCCAAGCAGCCAACTGGTGGCTTAAGGTATGTCTCATGAATATCACTATTTACAAAGATATCTCAGCATCTATTGTGATGAATATTCTGGGACACATCCTTAGAATATCTCAAAATAGCGACTGGACAAAGGATTTATACGTGTCCATCCCGGACGAATGGTACGATGATGTACGATGATTGTGGTGATTAATGATTGATGCAGGTAGTGCTTACTATTACAGTTTTTGCTGATACTATTGTTATTTGCTATTATCATTGCCATTATGGTTACCGCTAATCGTCAATGCTGTTATTATATGTCATTATTCTTATTCATTAGTGTTACTGCATGGTTGCTTATTGTTATTGATACTGACTATATCATATATATATATCTACAAATAATATAATATAATATAATATGATTTGATATAATATAATATAAATGTAAATATAATATAATGTAATACCATGTAATATAATATAATATAACATAATATCACATAATCTAACATAATATAACATAATATAACATACAATAATATATTATACACATAATTTGTATATTTAATATATACAATATAATATTTGTTATAGATTATATCTTAAAATATATAGTATATGTAATATATAATATTGTTGATATTTATAATAGTTTTTATGGAATGTATGTTTTAACATATTTTATACAATATTTTTGTTTATAGATTCTATGTTATTAATTGTATGTTAAAATAATGTGTAGTATTTATTATATATTATACATGTTGTATTGTACATGATACATATATATATACATAATATAATATATGTGTAATATATTATTATTATAATATATATTGTATAATATATATATAGGTGTATATATATTATTTTAACTATGATATACATATTATATCAATATAATATATATGTATAGTTTATCCAAGCTAAGGATGTATAATATATAATGTCTAGTTTCAAATATATATATATAATATAATACACTATATAATATCCAATATTTAACATTGCAGAACATACAATATAGAACATAATATATGTATTTTTTTGAATATATATATATATATTATATTGTATACACAATATAGTATATATACACCAGATAATGTAATGCAATATAACATGATATAATATAATATAATATATATTTAATATAATATAATATGTAGTTAATAGATATTTAATATATATATATAATAACATTAACTTATTATATATATACACATACATCTCACAAGTATATATATATATATAGTATGAAATTATATATATATATAGTACATATATATATATATACATATTACAAATATATTTATATATATTACATATATATATATATATATTACAAATATATATATATATATTACAAATATATATATATAGTGTTATTGACTATATTGTATATTGCCACGGTTGCTACGAGGATGATGATCATCATGCTGCTGATGACGATGATCACTGAGGCAACGAGCAGCCGAGATGGTCACGTCAAGCAGATCTCCTCAGGTGGAGTGGCGGGACGAATCATGGGTCCTAGGGGGTCTAGGGGGTTCTGAGCGGACCATGTAAGGTCACCCAAATGATGGAAAATGATGGAAAATGATGGAACATCCATGAATATTGGAAACATGCTGAAGTTCTGAAAATCCATGAGTGATGGAAAATGCTCAAAGCATCATTTTTCAAATGCAAAAAGTCAGGAAACACATGATGGAACAACCACGCAAATTGTGCGAAACACAGAATGTTCACGAAGAAAAAGGGGACAGTATCCAACCTACGCCAAGTCTGCGAGGCATCATATGTCATAACTGGTTGGTGGTGTCAGGTTCGTGTAATGTCCATGAAAACAGGATGATGATCCCAGATCACCAATACACTTTTCAGGGGGTTGAAACCACCAATAAAACATAGATCTGGATAAATTACAACGACCTCACGTCGCGACCGAGCCCTGGAATCATGGTTAATAAGAGAAATCATCCCCAAATGGCCGAACTATTCAGGTGAGTGAAATATTATAATTTACCCAGATAGATGTTTTTCCTGGACAAGTTCCAAGTCTAGCACTGAATAGTCTTGGGACATTGCGGTTTTTTTTCACAAAACTAAGGCGAAACGCTTGAACCTCGCAGAGCCTCTGAACGTGGAAATCTAGACCCAGTAGTTGAGATGGCCCATATCCTCAAGGCATCACTTGAGGTATGGCTTAGAGTGGGTTACATGTAAAGAAAATGGTTGATACTAGGGACCAATTAGGTGCCCCCCAGGTTCCACACTCTCACAGCGCTGTGGCTCCAGGTGATCTGGCGCACGATGAGACCTTGTGGGATCAGACCCTGCGTTTATAGGCGTTGCAGATGACCATCTTGTAACTGGTTGGTGGTTTCAAACATTTGGATTATGAATTTCCATAATATATGGATATATATGGAATAATAGTCCCAACCGACGAACTCCATCATTTTTCAGAGGGGTTAAAACATGTTAAAACCACCAGGTAATCAATGGATCGTCATCTACATTTCATCCATCTGTTTGGAAAGTCTCAGTAGCTCCAAACGGCTCCCCACGATGGGCCCCCGCTGTGCCAGGTCAATGATTGGGCGAGTTGCCAAGTTGCGCAGCTGGCGTTCTGAGTTGATTGCAGTTGAGCCTGTTGATTGCATAGGAGATGAAAATAGGGTACCCCTTGGCAAATTGATTGGTATGCCGCTATGCACCATTTTCAGAAGGCCCACCTGAATTTGATATTGGAAGAATAGGTATAGGCTATAGGTATATAGTTGTTTCTCCTGCAATTCGCAAGCCAAATGACAAATTTGTGTGAACTCAGACTTATGATTTCAGTTGTTGGCCAGTGCTTAATGCAGCCATCGCCCGAATCAGAACGGCTGTGCGCGAATCTTTCCCCAAACAGCCAAGCGACCCGATGGATGATTTCGAATCATTCCCAAGTGCGGTTTATTTTTGGGTATACCATGAGAAAATGACCGTTGGATGGTTTTATTTTACACCATTTTCGGTTTATACCCCTATTTGATTATTTGGATGGTGTAAAATGACCTTCAGATGATTGGTTAACGCGATGGTTTATTATTGGATCTACCACATCATGTGTTTTGAAAGAGGACTGTATCCGGAAGTGGAGCGTGTCTTGAAGCTATTGGAAAATTTGGCTGTTTGGATACTGGAATTCCAGTGCCAATTTTCTGCAAAATTTGAAACCGATTTCACCCTTGAACCACTTCGAAATTGTCTGCCCAGAATTGAGAGAAAATATATAAATCTATAAATATATAAATATATAAATATTTAAACATATATTGTAAATATATTAATATATAAATATAATTAGATATGGGTGCAAGTCAAAATAGGAGGTCCGGAACAAGCTCCGGGACCACACCCGTTCCATACCCCCGTTCCATACCCCCGTTCCATACCTCCTTGAAGGATCCGTTCCATACCTCTGTTCCATACCTCTGATCCATACGTTATGATATATATATATATATATATACATATATATATATATGATATGTATATATATATATGTGTATGTATTTATATATATAATTATATATATATACACCTGAATATGTGCAGTCTGATTTTACATTTGTACGCGCATACTTGAGCGCGCATACATACATGAGTGTGTACATGCAAGAATAGGTTTACTATGCCCAAGCCCTGTGATTGTGTTGGCAAGTCTGTGCCTGCAGCGTTTGTTGTGTGATGGTAGGGATGTACTTGGCTGTTGTCAGCTGGCAGTCTAAGAATGAATTGCTTGTAACCCTCCCTCCCTCTCAACCTGTGGCAGGTTTGCGCCTGCACCACTTACAGTTGCTGCCCGCTGTGGCACAGCTGTGATGTTTGATGGTAGAGATGCGCTTGGCTGTTGCCAGCTGGCAGTCTAAGAATTGCTTGCTGCACTACTCTCGCTCCACACTGCCAATTTTGATAAAGATGCGCTTCGTGGTGGCAGAGCTGTGCTGGAGTGGGCCGTTTCGTTCCAGACCCCGTTCCATACCGTTCCATACCCGTTCCAGACCCGGACCACCTATGTACCATCCATGACCCGCTTCCGCTGAGCGGATAGCTTCACATAGTAGCCAATGGGTGAGGCTGGCTAGCAGTTATGTCCTAGCTAGTGCACGAGCACTAGCCATGTAAGGCAAACCTGCGTTGAACAGGTGTACAACAAGGATGCCACACAGATGAGAAGTAAAAATAAACGGCAGCCAGCGGTAGTAGCTTTAACATACATATGCTTGATATAATTATATAATATTATATGTACATATATTATATATATATACAATATACATATATATTTATATATAATTTATATTTTATTACATTCCGAACGCCCGGAACAAGACTAACTACGAAACCCTTTCGTTTTATACGTCCGGATTAACACGAAACGTTTTATACATAATTTTGACTCATAAACATATAAACATATATTAATATATAATATATATATAATAAATTATAATA